GCTTTCTGGCTTTCTGCTATGTTTGTTCATAGCTTGTCTCTAGCTATTTTACATAGTTATAAAATTACAAGTGTTAGAAACAATTTTTGAGTCTGCTTTGAAAATAGCAGATTTGATTTATCTGCAATTTGCCTATTGAATGAACTGAGCTGTTGTTTTATAGTACCAAATAGTTAATGCTCTGTGCACATTGTCCCATTTCAAAGGAGATGTAATAGCCTGATCTTAGATGTTCTGGTATCTGATAGTGCAGAGGTTTTGGCTACAGATTTTTGTGAAATCTAGTGTGCTTTTAAGCTGTAAATGACTGGGTTTTGGCTTTTGAGTGCTAAATATCCCTCTTTAAAAATGGGATACTTGTGCTACACATGCAAGAAATTAAAAAACTGATCTGCAATACCTGTGCAGGTAAGGGTGACCGAAGAAATTTTTCCTAGATGAACGTGGGATTGGAAGTTGTCTCACCTCCAATCCCTGCTAGAGAAGCAGGAGTGTTGTTTTAGGAATCATTGAATTGTGTCTTGCTGTTACTGCTTCCCCTTTTATTATGTCTCGCTTCCTATCTTGGAGTTGTGAGATGGACTGTACCCATGCCATGCTCCTGCTTTTCCTTTTATCTTCTATTACTCCCTCCCAGTTTGATGCAAAGGAATTCTGCCCAGCTTCTAATATTTTTAAAGTGACATCCACAGGAGCCTTGGCTTTTTTTGGCTCTGGCTCTTTTTCTAGTCTTTAAATTCTTTCATTTCATTGCTTTAGTATTCATCCATTGCATTCAGGATTTCTTTCATTGCTGTAAATTTGGACTGGACTTTAATTTTCAGGCTTCTGCTACCGTAGTACCAAATACCTTGACTCTGAACATCCCACTGCAAACCCCATTCACATCTTACAACTTGGACCTGTAGTTTCGACTTCCTTGCTTTACTCTAGGGAGAGATGACATTAAGTTAATGCTCAGTAAGTCTATATCTTTCTTGTACTGAGGAGCACAGAACTGGACACAGTTCTCCAGATGTGGTCTCACCAGTGCTGAGAAGAGGAGAAGGATTGCCTCCCTGAACCTGCTGGCAATGCTCTTCCTAACGCAGCCGAGGGTGCTGTTGGCCACCTTTGCCAAAGGGTGCAGTGCAGTCAGCTTGTTTACCACCAGGACCCCAGGGTTTTTCTCTGCAAAGCTGCTTTCCAGCCTGTCAGCCCCCTGTGTGTACCAATGCCTGGGGTTATTGCTCCTCAGCTGGAGGACTTTGCATTTCCCTTGGTTGAACTTCATAAGATTCCGCTCAGCCGAGTTCTCCAGCCTGTCAAGGTCCATCAGCATGATTGTCCGTCATATCAGCCATTCCTCCCAGTTCTGTGTCACCTGCAAACTTGGTGAGATTGCACTATCTCCCATCATGTAGGTCATTAATGAAGATGTTAAGCAGTGTTGGACCCAGTGTTGACTGCTAGAGTACACCCCGAGCTGCCTCTAGCTGGACTTTGTGCCACTGATCACAACCCTCCGTGCCCACCCATTCAGCCAATTTGGGTTTGGGGCCCACCACACTGTGCACTTACATAACCTGTACTTCATCAGCTTGTCCATGGCAGTGTCACGGGAGACAGCGTCAGGAGCCTTTCTGAAGTCAGGGAAGACAACATCCACAGCTCTCCCCACATCCACCAAGCCAGTCATCATCTTATAGTATCATAGAATCACAGAATGGTTTGGGTCGGAAGGGACCTTTTAAAGATCACCTAGTTCCAACCCCCCTGCTGTGGACATGGACATCTTTCACTAGATCAGGTTGCTCAAAGACCCATCCAGCCTGTGTTCAGTGAAGAGCTCCTTGCTTACCCATGCAGGCCTCCTGCCTCCTGTCATAATTGCTTTATTTCCTGCTTCTCTGGATGGCCCTTTCGTGAGCTTGCAGGAGGTTATCTTTGAGTGTCAACCAGCTCTTTTGGATCCCTCTTCTCTCCAGGAATATAGGCCATGGGGTTCTTCCAAGCAGAACTCTGAAGAGGTTGAAGACCGTGCACCTGAAATCTGGTGTTGTGCTCCTGCCTTTTGGTCTGCTCTCTCATATTAGGATGCTGAACTCCACCATCTCATGGTCACTGCAGCCACGACTGCCCCCAGCTTTCACATCTATGACAAGTTCTTCCTCATTTGTATTGGGTCCAGCAGAGCATCTTTCCTTTTCGGCTTCTCAGACACCTATGTCAGGAAGTTGTTATCAATGCACTCCCAAAATCCGAATTGCTTCTGCCCTGCTGTGTTGTCCCTCCAGCAGATGGAAGATGTTGGATTTTATATCAATTTGAAAACTGCTTTGTTCAATGTGAATATTCATTTGGTTTATTTCTGGCAAAAAAGTATATATCCCTGATATAACTTGGCAAATACGTTCTCTGGTTTTTCAGCTCTTACTTTGTATAGCTATCATTTCGGTTTAAAAATTGAAGAAAATAAAAAATGTTACCCAGAATTCTGTAGCATTAGATAAAGAATGTAAATATTTCCTCACAGTTAGTGTACTACCAGCTAATATCTGAACCTGTTACTGACATTTCTGACCTCACTGAGAGGTGAGATGAGAACCTGAATGAAAACCTGGTGGTTCTCAGAGTAAAAAAAGTAAACTGTATTAACATAAGAACTGTTTACCATGCGAGTGAGTTAAGGCAGACGTGAGGGGCGTCTGAAAGGGGAAAAAACCTATATTTTTAGTGAACTTGATGGAAAATCATTTTGTAAATGTAACATGAATGACTTCAACCACTGCCATTGTCTAGAAAAACTTATATGTATAAGTACTATGTTTAGGAAAGAACTGTCATAAATAATAATGTTGTTTGAAACTTACGCTGCGAGAAAAATAAGCTTCAATCCTTTAATACTGTAGCAACAAGTTCAACCAAACTGGAAGATCTGAGTTATTTGGATGGACAAAGAAATACTCCTTTGCGCACTTCAATTCGCTTACCTTGGCACAACACAGCTGGCGGAAGAGTGCAGCAGGAAAGTAAAGGTATACATATTTCCATCTGCATCCGTCTTGGCGCAGTCACACAGTTCCTCAGTAGTTGTGTAACATGGATGTTCTGAGATCTTTGTAAACACCCCCATCCCACCAAGTGATGTTTTAGTACTCCTGGCAGCACTGAACATGTCTGAAAATAAGATGCTTGCTTACACTTTTTCCTGCATAATGCTGGGCTTTAGAAATTGAATGTATGGCTTTAATAAGAAATCAGTACATTGTTTACCTAAGTGTGCATGGGCAGTGCAGTGCAGATCATGTGAATCTCCAACGTGAAGTTGTGTCATACCAGTATTCAGGAACTGGACTGAATATTTTCTTGACTGCCAGGTTTTATCATGTGACCTTCAGATAAGAGTGTACTGCAACTTAGGAAAATTTATGCTGAATTTAAAGTCTTCTGGAGGCTGTCGTTGGAATTCTGTTTTAGGAGGAAAACTGGTCTAATACCTTTAGACTTATTTATGACTAATATATACTATATCTCTGGTCTTTGAGTCTGAAAATAGCAGGTTTATTTTTTGTTTTCTCCTCTTACCTTAGCCATCTGCAGGCTCTGTTAATTTACCAATGTCGCAAATGTGTGATTTAGACCGCTTAGAGAACCACTGTCAAAGGTATAAGCAAACATACGTAGTGGTTTTAGTGAAACACAGTGTGGTGAAAGTGTGACTTAACGGTTAAGTTCGATGGCAAGGTTCGCTCTATTACTGTATGGCACGAAGGGTGCAACGGTGATTCAAAGTTAGCGAGACAAAATCTGAGTGCGCTGTAACGCGAGGTTAGGCGCAGTATCGGTCACTTGCCAAAGATCTGCTGTTGGTAGAAGGTCTCTCTGCCTTGAGGGTGTCCCAGCTCAAGGGGAGCTGCCCGCCATGCGGCCAGCTGCTTAGCAGGCAGGGCTCAAAGCAAGCTCACTTAGGCTGTCCTGTTTATGGAGCAAAGCGGTTGGCCTGTAGCCAAACTGCATGCAATGGAAAAGGTCTGCATGAGACTCCTTGTACCCACAACTTTCTTTGTGCCTTGACAAATGAGTCTTGGAAAAGCCACCTGCTGTTCGTGTGTTATGGCATGACCGACGTTCCCAGCTGACGTGCCTCGGTGCTCACCGTGTCACTCTGCTCCTTTGTGGGTTTCCAGAGAACGGACTGGAAACAGAGACCTTCTTGGCCCACTTACAGCTTAGGCCTTTACCTCCTTTGGAGCCTGAACCACACTAACGCTAGTTTGGTCAAGGAGTAGAGTGCATCCATCGCAACCAGTAACAGTTAAAAGCAGAAAAATTTAAGCCAGTTCCTGGTAAAACTGATCTTGAGATCGTATATAGATGCTATGCTGTCCTCTTTCATTTATGTTTTTTCGCAGTCATAGATTAATGCTGAGACGGCATTTGTGTAACATTAGGTTAATGAATCCTCGGGGCATTATATTAGTGAACATTATTATTTTGTGCAACCAAACCCAAATTATTATTCTCTCTGTAAGTCTTGTCAGGTGTTTGCCAAATGTATAGATTAAAGTAATCACACACGACTGCACTTTTAGCTGTTCTGTGTAATTTCTGTTCTTGTGGCTTCAAAAGTACAGAAAAAGAGTAGTAGTATTTTTTTACATTACTCTAAAAATATGAGTTTTTTTTAAACAGAAGAATGTATTTATTCTCTGTACCTTTTTCTGTTAATCTGTAAATGTCTTTACAGATCCGAAGACCTGACACTCAGCAGTGTAGTTCACTCTAAACTGAAGAATGCTTGGCACTTCCCCATTTATAGAATTATTAATGCATTTTAAAGAAAACTTTTGGATTCTGCAACTTATTAACTCAAGTTCAATTGTTTAAAAAAAGCCTCACATTATACTTGTAGCTTCTCTATTCTAGAATTTCATTCACGTAGGAATTACGGAGGTGACCTGAACTGAGCAAATCAGGTTTTATTGTTTTCATGAAGAAAGCTCTCAGAAGTCTGATTATGAATGCTGTTAACAATGTCACTGGATGAAATGATCTTTTGCAACACTGCTGTTCTATTGTGTGTTGAGTTTCTTCTGGTAAACTTTTCTCCCTGCCATCTCTTCTCAGCTCGTTTTGTCCCCTATAAGCCTCAAGACATTTTGCTGAAGCCGCTGTTGTTTGAAGTTCCAAGCATAACAACAGACTCGGTGTTTGTCGGAAGAGAATGGCTGTTTCAAGCAATTGAAGAAAAATTGAAGAATACTGATCCAGCAGAGAACAGGGGAGCAGTCATTACTGGAAATGTGGGATTTGGGAAGACTGCAGTCATTTCACGGCTGGTGGCACTTAGCTGCCATGGAAGTCGCATGAGGCAAATAGCTTCAAATAGCCCTAATTCTTCCCCCAAAAGTATGTTCCTTTTCTGAGTAATTTTTTGGGTTATTGTACTGATAGCAAGAGTCAGAATGTTGTTTGCTTCTCTGGCTTAAGGCCTCATCAACTCCTCGGCCAATACTTGTTTCCTCCAGTGAGGAAAGGAAGCTGTTAAAATTGTGTGCTTTGGCAAATACCTTCCACATAACACAGCGAGGGCTCAGCCCGTCAAAAAACGTGGTAAAATGGAGACAATGTGTAGAATCTCTTTCTGTCAGGCAGTGCGTACCCTAAACTCTGTTGATAGAGCAACTGTAGTAGCTTGTTCTCCCATCAGTTTGGAAAGAGAGAAGTGACATGTTTCTTCCTTGCTGTGTACCACACGCTTTTCAGTACGCATGTTTTCCATAGAATTTCAGTAGCAGCAAAAATAAAGCTGTGGAGAAACCCGTTCTGTCTTCTGCTGGGATCCACAGGATTTTGTCACCTGACCAATCCAGTCCCTGTATTAACTGGAAGGATGGTGTGACTGTAGTTACTGCTAATTCCTCTGCTGACACCATTATTATTATTATTATTTATTTCCCAAGAGTTCAGTCATATAATAACTATTAGTTCAAATGAGTCATCACATATATAAATTTCATAAGGAAACTCTTCATATCAGCACGGTTTTGCTTTCAGTAATTCTATAGTTTTGATCTAAAAGTCAGTTGAATTGTTTTAAAATTGAAAAGTTGCAAATATGTTCCTGTATTTATCAGACTAGTTGCAGGATTCTTCTAATGCTATCGTTCAGTTTTAATGTTTACTCTAGCAGTGAAGATACTCCATGATGTTTTCCTACAAAACAACCTGCTATCAGTAAATTTGGCCTCTTTTGTATTTGTTGTCTTTTAAAAATAGGTGGTGACTCCTGTCAGGAGATTCCCTTAAGTCAGCTACCCCCGTCTGCTCCTCCAGCAGGTGGTACCAATACAGCGAAGGCTCTGAATTGTCCTGGTAGTCCTGAATACCAAAACCAAACAGGCGATGCCGTGAGACGCCTTGCTTCGAAGGTGAGTTTTCACTTGGTAATAGATTTTCAGTTAGAAAAGCTCTAACCCGGGGGGAGACAGTCTGCTTTGCAGAGCCTCCTGGGTGTGCCAGTGGGCAGTAACCTCGGACACTTCCAAAAGATGTGTGGGTCTCGTGAGTGGTGAAACCAGCTACCTACCTTTTCTACCTTTCAGGTTAGTACTGAATTCTGCTGGGTCTTAGGAAGTGTTACGTTACAAATACCACATCTGATTTATGTGTCTATGGGAGCTTGGGATCCTTTACCTGCAAAAGGGGGCTGCGTGTTCTGTAGGGGTAGATGCTCGGTGTAGCATCCAAAAGCAAAATTCTGTTTGGAAAAAAAAAAAAAAAAAAAAAAAAGAGAGAGAGTGCAAAATGTTTGGTCTGTGTATGGTCCATCTATATTCTACGATACGGGTTGAATCTGAATGTAGTCTATTTTTCATACTCTGAGAGTCTGAAGTAAGCAATTAAAAGTTATTTTTGCATTAGATAATTATAGTGCTTTATTTTTTGCCTAACTAGTAAAAATAATTAATGTTCTAATTGCATACTTCATGCAGATAGTTGTGAGGAAAACACGGGGTTATTGTTTCAGTCTTTAAGGTGAGGCGTATTATTTGGAAGCAGTGTTATGAAAGCCCCTGAAGTGCAAACTTTTTATTTACTGTGAACACCATATTTTCCTTGTGGTTTGATTTTTCTTCAAAGGAATATGGCCTATGTGACGTTTTATTTTTAAGGAATACACACCTTCGCAATAATCAGAATAAAGCCAGTTGTCCTCTTTTTCTGTTTGCTATATGAGGGTGTCTTTAGTAGCTGTCTGTGATTTACTTTTGCCTGATGACGATCAAATTAGTCCCTGGGTCATTACAGTGTGTGACACAATGTTGTTAAATTATAGCTAACAGGTTGCTTAGTCAGAGCCTCAAGTTATTTTTCTTGCGCTACTTGGTTACTTCGCTGTCTACCCACTGTATCCAAATGGCATGAACATAAATTACTGTGTTTTCCTGCCAGAATCTGACATCTATGTTTCTTTTCCTCGTTGCATGCGCTATAAGACCAAAATCTATTTCATTGTCTTCCTTTCTGTGTCTCTGACAAAGGCCATCTGAGACCAGTTATGGGGTTGGATACTTACTCTAACACTGAAAAATATTTTGTAGTTGAAAGAGAAGTTTATTTACACTTTATCATAATTGGACTAACTAGTAACCAACTTAAATATTGAAGGGGTAACACTTTTTTTTTTTAATTCTCCAGGTGGTTGCTTATCACTACTGTCAAGCTGACAACACATACACATGTCTTGTCCCTGAATTCGTGCACAGTGTTGCAGCTTTACTTTGTCGTTCAAATCCATTAACAGCGTACAGAGATCTCCTAATAAAAGAGCCTCACTTACAAAGCATGCTTAGCCTGAGATCTTGTGTCCAAGATCCAGCAGCAGCTTTTAAAAGGGGAGTGTTGGAACCACTTTCAAACCTCAGGAAAGGTAGGTTAAGCAGGAAGTGACTTGGAAACTGAATCTAAACTGCTTAAAAATTTGAAAAAATCTAAGAATATCTATTGCTAATGTTTTAAATAAATAAATTAAAACATTCCTGAAGAGACTCCTTAATTTTTGTAGCTGTTTGTAACAATAATAGGTAGGTTTTGAACAGATGTTGCGTGTTTCAAAATAAAATTATATAAAACTTATTAAAGATCATGGAAACTTTACTTTTTTTTTTTTTTTTTCTTTTTGCGCGCCAGAAAACTCAAGGATATCTTTGTAGCTTGAAGTTAAGGTTGGCATGTTTGCATTAAAGGATTTTGGTTTCAAATGCTTTTGAGTTTTGTTACACTTTTTTGTTCTGTAATTTGCTGTGCCTAAACACCTGTGAAGTGGATGTGTTGTTTTCCTGTTTTTAAAATTGATAGGGCAATTTTCCATGTTGCTACTTGTTATTTTCATGTTTTAAAAAAAAAACAACTAGCCAACTCCTCCTTGAAAACAGCTGGCTTCGCAGTATGTGCCAGCTTGAGCAGGTACCTGATAGATGGCAAGACGGGGGAGATTTGCCTACGTGTGAACAGAGCGTGTGTCATTCCTACAAACACTGGTTTGCAGTTCTCGAATTTTGTTGACTGTCAACAGATATCTGTGAAATCCATTGGCAAATCTTATGTTTACCCAGGGATTTTCATACTTAACAAGTGCTCAAAATGAATATTGCTAGTTTCTCAAGCTGTTGCAAAATAACTTTCTCCTCAGAACTGAAAATGTAAACCAATGCCTTTACGATTATTGCAAATTGTAATTTTTTTGTTTGATAAATCAAATAACGGATAAGTTTAAAGTAAATAGCTAATAATTAAACGCAATGTTAACTAATAGCTTAACTTACGTATGCCTTCTTCCCGTATCCATGGGTCTCTTATCTCTTACATGTTAACAGCCTTGTTTAATCTTTTAAGTCTTTTAAAATTAGTTATGAAATAGATCCGTAATACTAGCATAGCAAAGAACGCTAATGTAAGTGATTGCTTCCACTTTTTAGCATTTTTATGACAATGTTATTTAGTATCTCCTGATGTTGTTTTTAGTCTCCTAATACATCTTATGGCATTTAAGCATTATTTACTATGCATAAAAACACGTTTTTATTTCTTGATGTTCAAAATTTGGGGATAAAAACATGTCACTTATTAGGAGAATTTGTATTCATCCTTTCCTTTTTTTATTTTCATGTTTCAGAGCGGAAAATTCCTGAGGAAGACTACATAATTTTGATAGATGGTTTAAATGATGCCGAGTTTCATAAACCTGATTATGGTGACACACTTTCTTCATTTATCGCTAACATAATTTGCAAGTTTCCTCCCTGGCTGAAGCTCGTTGTGACTGTAAGAACTAACTTCCAGGTAAAAACCCCTTTTAACTTTTCTTACCCTCAAAGGCTAAGTGATCATTTATGTTGGTGCAGCTGCATTATTATGAAAAATACTTGCTTTAGAGGAATTCAAAGTAAAGTCTCTTGGGGCTTTTGCCTGCCTTCCTTTGTTGTTGCATGTTTCTTTACAGCACACAAGTATGACATTGGAGGCTTTTTTGTTTTCAGTCACTTTCCTGCTGTACGTATGCTAGTAGAATTGGTAATACAAGAAGTGGTGAAATCAGGGTATGTTTCCTTGACCTTCAAGAGTGAAACGGGCAAATGAATGAAAGCTAAAAAAAAAAAAAAGGTAATTAGAAGCCCATAGTTATTTTACCTTCAATGTTTACTTGTTGGAGTGTATTTCTGCTAGTATTAAGCTCTGGATTTTCACTTTTTAGGAAGGGATAAGCCACAATTCCACTATCTATGTTTATGAGATTGTTTTCTGACCTTATTACCACTGATCTCTCTGCATCCCTGCATCTGTTTGCTGCCCCTGAAGAAATCCTGCCTCAAAACTTCTGGTTAGAGCATTTTGTCAGAATTAAGCAGCTAAGAGATGCTTGCAGAAATCCTGAGAGTGTTTGAGTGAGGCTATACAGAATTCCCGTTTTTCTGTGTTGGACAGCAACGTTCTGAACGAGGTCCTGGTTTTGTTTCCAGCACTAGTCAGGCTCTTTTAAGATGGTCGCCCTCAGCTCACTTCAGTTTAACGAAGAAGGTGTGTCTGTTCTGGCCTTTCACCGCATCTCGGAAGACAGCAGCCCTTCCGTGTCCCGGCGGCGCTCGTGGCGCGCCTGCAGCAGCCCCATGCCGCCGCCC